AAAAAAAAAAAAAAAAAAAAAAAAAAAAAAAAAAAAAATATCGTGGTACTAAAACTGCTGCAGTACCGCGAAAAATGATATCGTGGGAGGCATCTAAATAACCTCATTTTTTCCTTTTTATGCTTTCTTTCATATTATCCTTTATTCTAGTCCTTTTCTATATATTTGCTATATAAGGGTTTGAGAACTTAGTTTTTAGTGTGTTCTGCTTAGGACAACTGCTGCCTTCCATTTATCTCCTTTTGAGGGTTGCATCTAGCGGATTGGGTGGTGAGGTGGTGATTATTATCCCATATCCCCTTCTGTCTCCTCCCACGTCGCTTCTGACCGCTCTGTTTCTAGTGCAGCATCCCAGACAACTTTCTGTAGTTGCCTTATCTGCAGTTCTCCCCTTCCCCTTGCTGTCCTCGTCTCCTACCTTCTTTTTCTCAGCTTGCAAACTCTTCCGCTTTTTGTCCGCTGCCAGAATCTGCAACCATACCCAGCCGCCCTTGCTGCCCTCATCCTGGACAGCCGTGCCACTTCGATATCGGCTGTGTGCTTGCTGTCCAAAATCCGGGAATTTGTCATTTTTGCTATTTTCTGTTTGCCGACCGCCTTGTCAACCATCCAACCACCTTCCAACCCTCACTGACCCATCTCCACCACGCTTGATCCTACCTTAGCCACGTGTCGTGTATTGGGTGTGTTGTTATTTCCTATTTTTGTCTATTTGGCTATAATTTTCCTTTCAATCTGTGAGTTGTAACCATCTAATTGGCTTTCTAGTAATAATATTTAATTTTTCTATTATGGTTTCAGTTAACTCCGGTATCACTAGGATTTTGTAGTGAAGATTTTGACCTAGTGGATTTTGATGGGTGGATTCAGAAGATTTGAATGAGTGGCTACATACAATAGAACTAGTCCTTAAGAACAGGGATGTTCCATCTAACATAAGGGTAAAACCAGTCACCATTAAGTTAAAAAAGTGTGTGTTTCTATGGTAGAAAACTTTGAAGCTCCTATGTCAACATGAGAAAAAATGAGTTTACTATTGGGTTCAAGATGAAAAGGGAGATACAATACAATTACCCACCAATACATTATAAACTTGACATGCTCTTAAGATTTTACCACTTTTAGCAGCTGAATCTGTCAATGGAGAAATATATCGTTAAGTTTGAGCAACTTATGTTGAAGTGTGAGCTAGTGAAGCCCGAGGAGAACACCATAGCTCGATATCTGTTGGGATTGAGATTGTCCATTGGCAACGTGGCATGATTACAACCTTAATGAACATTACGGGATATCTAGCCTCTAGCCTTAAAGGTGGAGAGACAATATAACAGTATTAGATCTACACCACTTTTTAAACATAATTCAACTATCGGATCATGTAGTAAGAGTACACCTATTGGAGCATCCAAATAGTTTTTCAAGTGTCACAGTTTTGGGCACATTGTATCAGATTGTCCAAATAAGAGAAGGGTTTCATATATTGAGAAAAAAGCAGTGAAAATATATACTGACATAGTGAAGATGATGATGCAAAGAAGGTGTACCAACTTTCATCCAATGAGGGAGAGATTCTAGTAATCCGACAGATCCTTTAGAGTAAGCCCTTGAGAGGAGCACCAACGTAACTAACATTAGCGGTCCAAGTCAACATTGAGTTCGAGGAGCCGATACCAAACATAGGACAGTCCCTGATAAGAGGATTTTAGGATTTTCGGATTTATATCTATCTCCTAGGTTGCCTCGACTGAGGAAGGTCCAACATGTCATCACCTAAAATGGAGATGAAAGCTTTTGAGCTATTTTGACGAGGCTCTATTGGATAAGCTAAATACCAAATTCAAGTTTAGTTCAGTAGCACATTTTCAGACATATGGTTTGATAGGAATGGTGAATTGCTAATGGGGAAAATGTGCAAGTATTTTGTGAGAAAGAATATTTGATTATGGGTCCAAGGTCTCTTCAAAGAGGAATAAGAAGCCTCTATTAACCGTGAAGAATGATGTTGGAACTTCTTTCGTGATCCTATGACTTGCATGATTCCGCAATTCCGGAATCGATCACGTGATCGTGGGAGAGCGAACTGAGGATGATAATCACAAGATTATCGTGATTCCATGATAGACCAGAACTGTAAATGAGATCATAGGAGGGCTAAACAATGAAAACCTCGTTAGGTTGGCAAATTTAGCAGGGATTGTTTTCTTTGCTAGATTATTTCCTTTTTTTTTAATCTAATGAGAGCTTCTTTCTATTGGGAGGCTATTTATATGTTTGTTTTTTTTGAGGGATTTTTTGCTGTTTTAGTGTGTTTTAGAGTTTGCATCTCCGATTTATGCTCTTGGAGTTCAATATACTCTTCTTTTAGCAAATTGTGTGTGTATGTTGCTCAATGGTGGAATCTCCTTGCCTCCTGTACATTGTCTTTTTAGATTTTTCTTTGCGGTTTTCAGTCGGGCAGCTGCCGAACGATGCCTATCCCCTCCAAACACGGCTGACCTCTCATATTCCCATTCACTTGCTATTCTTCAGTCACCCCCCCGCTAGATTCAGTTCTTAAGCACCTAGAAGCCCTAGAATGGTGTCAATTAATTTTCATTTAGATCGATATGCTAACCTTATCTTTTAAGCTTGGCTATGAGGAGTTTATAAATAGCGTGGTCATACTATGTAATTTAAACTTTTACTTTGGATATAATTCATTTTTTGATTATTCAATCTTATGAATGCAAGTTGGAGGTGTGATTCTTTTGAGTTCGACGACTACATAATATCAATGGATTTTTTCTTCTATATACTGGTGTAAGGCCTGATTTTTCTTTATTTTGATGATTTCAAATTTTTTTATTTAATTTTCATAAGTTAGTATTTGCTAGTTTATTACTCATGATATGTTCAAAAGTTGATATGTCAAATATTTGATGGTAGTTTATTATTGCTGCTCGTTAATTTTACTTGTTTCCAAATTTTTGATGAAATTCTTGATTTTTGCAAATAATTTGATCATACATTGGACTTGAGAGTACTTTTGCTTGTTTACTTTTGGAGTAATTGATTTGTTGGCTTGCTTGGTAACATGAATCTTCATTTTTTTCTTTGCATGAAATTATATTACAAATTGTATTTGTTTTATTGGAAACTGTAGCCCCGATTCATCTTGCTTACTTTGCTTCACTTTCTTTTTTATTTTCTTTTTTTTTTTCTTATGAAATCTTATCATGAAACTTTAGTTTCTTTTTTTATTTTCTTTTTCTTTAAGAATGCATTTTCTTAAAGAAAATCACCGTCTTGTTTCCGATTTGCATGGCATATGGTGTTTTTTTGACTAAAGACTTGTAAGCAACTCAACTATGCAGAGGAGGGAAAGGAAATAATGGTTTGGTTGATTTAAGAATAAATAGTTAGATGGTTTGGATTTTAGCTAGATAAAGTTTCAAGCCCTGCTTTAATAATAGTGTAGTTTGTTGAGTTTTTAAGTTATACGGTCCTTATGTTCTATATTTATTAGTAGGGGAGAGACAAATTTTAGGATCTTTATTTATAGATCTGAACTATAAACTTGAATAGAAAGTCTATTGTTGCTTGAATACATGATATTTTAATAATTCTATATTTGTGTTATGTATTTGAATGCTTTCTAATTTGCCTGTTTTATGGGGGAAAACTGTTGGGATATTTTCAATACGCCTTTTGTGGAAGATATTGGTGTCAGTGGTAATTTTTGGAATGAGTTTATTTTTTGTTTGGAACAAGTCTTTCCTTTCACTCTCCTTCAAATTATATTGCTAAGGATGCAACATAGTTTGGGTTAGTGAGCTACTGCATTGATTATTTAACACTTTTTGATATTGGTCCTACTATCTAAAGTACTTATTAGCACTTGGTTGTCATGTTATGATAGCAAACATAAAGCTGGAATAGTGTCTATAATTCTCTTGTAGCCTATTGTGGACATGATTTGTTTTTGTTGCTTTCGTGATTATTGGCGAGTTTCTTCGCTTATTAGTATAAATTAATTGTCTGTGTGGTTTCTCGGTGTAGTGCGGACAAAACATGCTTGAAATCTATATGGATTTGTAAGCTATTATGCTCATCATACCTTCACGTGTCAACATTTTCCATATATTTGGATCATAAAAAGTACGTAGTTCCTATCAACTTGAAGGAACGTATGTTGGTTTTTCAATTATTGATAAAAATGGTATTTGCTCTGTGATCGTTCTGCGTACTAATAGATTATATATATGATTTCATCCTCATAAGTACATTAAATAGCACATCTTTAGGTCTTATTGCAAAAAAGTCGGGTCAAGAGGTTCATCATTATTTTAATCATTAGCTTTATCACAGTTGCAAAGAAAGATAGATCTTGATTAGAAATTATTTTGACTCGGATCTGATCACAAATAAGTTAGAATAACTTATAGCTTATGTAAAACAAGAAATAAGTGTGCGGAATTCATAAATTCAATACAATGTGGAAGAAGCTTATTCAGTCTGTTGTAAGATTTATGTGAAAGAGATAACTTATCAAACTAGCTTAAACTTTATGTTCATGGAGCCTCTGCTGATAGTGTTGATCACCAAATTAATCTCATTCTTCATTGATGTTGCTTGAACTTGGGTATCTATTAGGCAACCTCTTACAACCTTCTGTTCTCAAGTAACTTCATGCACAGGTTTGAGGTTTTACCTATATTCCACCATGATTGATCCAGCCCTTATCTATTATTTCAAACTATAAATGATGTTTTTGTGTTCTGATTGATGTTGTTTGGATCTATTTTTACTAACCAGAAGATGTATTTAACTTTTTTAAGATAATCAATTTAATTTGTATTTTATCTTTTTGCATTCAGAATAATTAATTAGTTGGTGTTGTTACAGCAGGTAATCAGGCATTTTACTGCGCATTCAACTATTTATATTGAATTCAAGTATAACGATGAACTGTCATTTTCTTTCGTATTTTTAGAAGAAATAATGCTGTGCTCTCTTTGCAGGATGAAAAGTAATATTGTTGGAATGGAGGCAAACATGGAACATCTTCTCAATAAGGTTTTATGATGTGTTTTTGAGTGTGTAAATTTTATTTTTCTTGCCGACTATTAACTTGTTTTATGCTGTATTCTGACAGATTATGTCTGTCCAATCTAAGAGTGATGTTGTGAACACGTCTTTATTTGAAAAAAGGGAGCACATAGAGAAACTACATCGAACTCGCAATCTTCTTCAAAAAGTTCAAGTATAAATTTTTTCCTTGATTTGGTTTTTTTACTTTGTTTTTCGTTTTCAATCACAATTTCATTTGTGTTTTTGTATGTTTATTTTTAACTACTTTTATATGTTGTTTAAAGGGGATGAAAACTACAATGTAATGGGTACAGGCTGTACCTTCTGCCTTACACCCCATAGCAATTAGCAATTGTGCTCTTCCCATGCTCTCTCTGCACTTGTATTAATTGCATGCGCTCACTGCTAGATCGCACTCAAAACTGCAAAGTAATGGGTTAGGCTGTACCTTCTGCCTCACATCCCTGCTCCCTCTGCATTTGTCTTAATTGCACGTGCTTATTGCTAGATCTGCACTCTCACGTTTTAACTCTGCGGTGCTTTTGATCCTCCACTGTACCCCTTGCACTTGATCACACTCTGAGCTCGCACACTTGCTCGCGATCACTATGCTTGGTATGAAGGGTTTTAATCCCCTTTGCGGGCTTTCTTCGCCATGTAATCCCTAATCTTGTCATGAAGGGTGCAATGTCAATAAGTAAATTAAGCCTTGCCCTCCAACATTCTTGGAATGCCTTTCGACAAGATCATAATATGTCTTGCCTATCGACCTTTCAAACTTTAGGAGTTGTAAGCCGCACCACTTGGCCTATTTCTTTGAAAGATGTCAAAGCCACAACCGCTATCCTAATTTGCAAGGATACCAACTTTTACATCCTAGGCATTCAACCTCAAGATGGGTCATCATTTTGTTTGCTTTGCATGCATTGTAATGTCTTACGTTAAGACTTCCATGCATTGTAGGACTCTATTCTCACACTGGTCGTTGTAGTGAATTCTACATTCCACCAGAGTTGACTACGGTATAATCTGTACTAACAACATCCGCTCAAAGCATATGCTGAATTCCAACTTTGAGCTTAAGCTTGAGCTGGGACTCCCATCCTAAGACAACTCATGGTTGTAATATGCTATTATTTATTATGCATTTTGGTCACTTCAGATGCATGGTAAGCATCTTTGAGGACAAATGATGAGTCAAGTCCAATGTTAACTAAGAAGGGTGCTCACAACAAGACACTGACATTTTCTGCTCTATATCTGTTGCTTATTGTACTTACATAGTGTAATTAGGCATTCCGTTGCCTCTGAGCTGCACCTACAATGCCTAGTGGTTTGAACTAATTTCAATATGAATTCATTGAGCCTACTTTTGTATCTTCATTGATCATGCCTCCATGCCACTTAATTGTTGTTAGCCTACTTCCGGTACCTTTTGGCCCTTTTGGGCCTCATCTCAAGAGGATGCATGCTTTTGGCTTATTGCCACTTTGGTCTATTTATAATACCTTGGAGGAGGTAACCCATGAAATTTATCAGGCCACATGGATGACATTTTTTTTAACTTTGTTATTGGTGGATTGGGTCCACCAATTCAATCATGTATAGCGAAATTATGTGACTTTTATTGAGTCGACCATTCACTTACATCTGTACCTTCCTCTTTCCATAACACAATTTTTTGTTTCTACTTACACTCCTATGTCCAATTACAAAACAAACGAAGATTGATTTTATTATAAGAGATCTTAAATTTTCACAGCACAATTTGTTGTCCCTACATGTGATTGTTATGTGCATTGTGTCATATGTAATCAACCATTAGACTTGCGCTTATGGGAAATTTCAAGATTTCTTATAATAAAATAAATCTTAGCTTGTTTTGTTTATTGGACATAGGAGTTTAAGTGTGTCAAACTGACTTGTGAGCTAGCTAAGGCTCAGCTTGATAAATGGTTAGTGAGATGAACTCGATGAGCTAATGAGCAAATGCTTAACCTAGCTTTGACTTGACTCATTAGTTTATCGGAATTAACCCAAACCACAACAGGGAAAGTAAATATTATTACTCAAAAAACAAATAGGGATATAAGCAATGACACTCGGAATTAGGAAATATTAAAGACACAACATGCCCTAGGGTTTAGGTTGAGGGAGGTGGTGCTGCGGATTATAGAGGAAAAGCTCTCATGGAAGTGGGGGAATGGTTGGAAGGCAGCAAGGTACGGCTGCGGTTAGCTGTCGGATGGCAGTAAGGCGAGAGACTGTATAGCATAGTGAGTTGACTGCAGCAGGGAAGTTGTTGCAGGGCGTTGGAAGGATCGGGTAGGCTTAAGGCAGCAAGAGGAGGAGTTGTGAGGCTGCGACAACATTGCTGGATGGCTGGACAATGATATGACAACAGAGGAAGGGCTTGCAGAGCTGTGGTGGTGATGCTGGATAGCGGGATGGGTAGAACAACAATAGGAAAAAGTGGAGGGCTGCGACGGTGAAGGTGGAAGTCAGGGTCAGTGAAAGTAGCGAATCAGGTCGCTGGGATAACAGGGGGTAATAAAGGGGAAGGGTAGCGGACTACAGAACAACAAAGGGGAGGGTTGTCCGGGGGTAGTGACAATGAGTGGATGGATGGAAAGGTTGCAGAGGAGTTAGGTAAGGATAAATATTCCCGTGGGATCTAGCTACAGCCAGAGCACTGCTCGAACCCTTGGGGACGGTCACCATCTCGGACGAGTTATAGTCGGAGCACCTTCTCGCCTTTTGATACAGCTCTAGAAGGGGAACACCACCTGGCGACAACTGTCTTGAACAAAAACATATGCCAAAAATTGAATTCTAAACCTTAATACAATACATAGACATGAAATGACTAAAAATAAATGAAAGATAATAGGAAAGAAAACATAAGGAAAGTAAGACTATTTCGGTTGCCTGTCACTCGTCTCTTGTGATTTTGAATCCCGCGGTACCGTAGCAGCTACAGTGCTGTGAGAAAACATCGTAGGAAAGCTCCAACGTCAATTAGCTTGTGAGTTGGCAGTGGACTGCAGGACAACAAAGGGGAGGGCTATCTGGGGGTCGTGACAACAAGTGGATGGATGGAATGGTTGCAGAGGAGTTAGGTAATGATAAATATTCTAGTGGGATCTAGCTACAACCAGAACATCGCTCGAACCCTTGTGGACAGTCGCCATCTCGGACGAGTTATAGCCGGAGCACCTTCTTGCCTTCTGATACAACTTCAGAAGGGGAACACCACTTGGAGACAACTGTCCTGAACAAAAACATGCCAAAAATGGACTTCTAAACCTTAATACAATACATAGATATGAAATGACTAAAAATGAATGAAAGATAATAGGAAATAAAACGTAAAGAAAGGAAAATAAGACTATTTGGGTTGCTTGTCTCCCGTCTCTCGCGATTTTGAATCCCGTGGTACTGTAGCAACTACAATGCTGTGAGAAAACATTGTAGGAAAGCTCCCATGTCAATTAGCTTGTGAGTTAGCTCATTTTACATTTTATAATATAAAATGCGCTTAAACTGTTATAGAATTCAGCGTTTTAATTATAAAGTTTCTAAAAATATTTAAATTTTCTACCTTACTTTCTTTTCTAAGAATATTTTTGATAATGTCTGAACAATTTCTCTTTTTTCTTAACTTTTTATTATAGTAGTTATTTGAATTTGGGTCTTCTTTTCTCTTTTATAATGGATAAGCCAGCTCACGAGTTAACTCTACTTATAAATTAAGATTGAGCACAAGCCCATAGTGCATTAACCGGTCAAGTTTATATGGTCATGCTTAAGCTCAAATTAGGTGTAGCTTGAGCTTGAATATACTTGTTTACACCCTTAACCGGGCTTAAAAAATCTGTATGACCAACACCAATTCCATTTGAATTTTCATGTTACTCTTTGAAATTCCTAAAGAGCAGAGGAACACACATGTGTGTGACACATTTCAAAGCCAAAAATTTCAAATATTTTGATCCAAGGTTAAGCTATATTTGTGACAAAACTTCTTTCATTCTTTGGATGTGCCGGGAGTATTTTGTGGTAGGTCCATGATTCAATCAAATGTTTGATTTTTCATGTAGAATCAGTCAACGTAGGGTTACTTGAATTAGGTAGAGGGTATAATAAGAAATAATTGGAATGTATCTAATTAAATTTCTAAAATAAATATTAACTTATGTTTTTCTATTTTTTGTTGGTTCTCTTCTTTATGTTTTTCTAAATCTTTCTTTTTTTTCTCTTGAATATAGCTAGGAAAATTAATTCTCATGGATGGTTGCTCTTCAATATAGAGAGAAAGAAGCGAGATTTTAAGAGATAATATTACAAGGTAAAGAGAGAGTGAATTTTATGCAAGCTACTTTGAAAGGGGTAGAGACACTTTTGATAGAAAAATCGAGAGGTGAGAGAATTTATAATTAAGAATTTTATTATTTTGCTAATGCAAATTAAGTGCTAATGAAAATCAAGTTGACATTTTTGGTCTTCCTTATGGGTTTGTTGTTGAAAGTTCTGCTCTTATGCAAGTCAATACAAATAACCTTGATAGTTTTGTACCACTTTACGTTTTTTTTTGTGCCAAAGTGTGACAATTTTGCCCATCCAAGCTTTTTTGCATGAAAGTTCCACTCAAATTAGTCTATATTTTCTTTTAGACTTAGTCCATCGAAGCTGGATTCTGCATATCTTCATATCTTAGTTGGCTTGATCTAATTTGGGTTTTATTAGCCTTCTAGATGAATGAAATAAGTTGTTGAAACTCTAAAATGTGGAGGGTGGTTGATGAGGATGTCTCGATTCCCATAATGAGTGGATCGTGGAATTCCGCGATCTTGGGAGCATATCGAGATGATTTCCTGTCCCAAGCGGCATTGTAGTGAGAAAACTTATGTTATTTTGAGTTTTAAGTGTCATGAAATTCTTATTGTTTTAGACTTGGTTTGGAAGACCTTTTAGGCTTGTTTTGTGTAAGTTGGAGATTATAATAATTGATTTATGGCCTAATAAGTGTCGTATCATCTTTCTTTTGCAAATGATATGTTTGTATCTTGTTCAAGAATAGGTGACAAACCTCCTCGTCATCGGCGCCTTGTCGTTATGTGGTTCTCTCCATTGTTGCTAGTCTAGATTGCCTCTAAATGACCCCTCTTTCTC